TGAGTCATGGCCATTGCTTGGCCAATGTGCTCTCTGTGAAAGCCTGAGAGAATGTTTTCTCTCCATGTGACTCTTCTTAGGCACACTCTACATTATCGATCACTTTCCTCTTTGGCCCCATAATCTCCTTGATCAGAAAATTTGGGACACTACTGAGTTACATAACATTACAGTACAAGTTCTCATGTCAATAGGACAGTTTTGATAATCAATACACGGTACATTGTTATCTTCTTAGTGGTTATCCATAGTACAAGAAGCAGACAGGATATTCTGACCAAACACTGTTAGTACGCCTCTTTCTTATTGAATTAAGCGAAAGTAGCTGTAAATTTATCCTATTTCGTCTATATAAATACAAAATGATCTTTCCTTTGTTTTTTTTTTTGTTTTTGTTTTTGTTTTGTCCTGTCAGGTGAATATTCTATTGGCATCTAAATTCTACAGGTGTTTGAATTCAACTAAACAATCTAACACTGTCTAGCAGTCTATAATATTAGTGGGTTATCCTCAGAAGTTATTGACTTGAGCCTTTTACAGCTCATCGTATTAATATGGATTTACTTTGTATACCTCATTTTTATACTTTTCTGCTGGATGGTTAAGACCAAGATATAGCAAGACCTATATAACAAGAAATGTAACTTTTGTATCTGATAAGGTCAGCCAAGTACTCTCAGGATTTATCCTGTAGCCCTGTACCACCCTTTATACATCCTTGTGTCAGTGTCTGATGTGAGGATGAGTCACGGCCATTGCCGCTTTCTCATTTTGGAAGGGACTCACAATCATTAGAGTTAGCGCCTAAGGGGTGGGGATTGTGCTGTACTTCTTAGAGCAGATCACACAAATCATTTGCAGTCTTCTGTACCAATTTATCTCCTTGCCCCTTTTAAGTTTCATTCAGGCATTTATCGAAATCAATGTGGGTACAGTGTTTCACACTTTGGGTAATGGTCCAGATCTACCTTTCGATCATCTATCTCCAATTGTTCTAACCTGGCCGCTGCTGTCTCTCATCTGACTTCTGAGTCCCCTTGGTGTTGTTCTGCTGTTAAGAGTTTTTCTCTTGCACAGGGTCTTATTTCCCCTGAAGCTGCTCTTGTTGTTCTACCTGGTTTCCAGGATCTGGGGGTCAGAGCCGTAACCATGGCCTGAGAAGCACACCATGACCAGAGGCTCGGATCCCATGGTCGAAGGTCTGGATCCCCTCCCCAACTAAGTCATCAAGATCACGTGTGCAGGCAAATGAGCAGGAACTCTGAATGAGGGCCAAGAGGAGGAGGAGGAGGAGGAGGAGGAGGTGCTGGGGCGCAGGACTTCAAACCCAGCTGCAGAGTAGAGGCTGGAGGCCTTCCTGCTCAGTCCTTTCATGTGAGTTCCCAAGGTACTTTGCAGATCTTGGCCGAGCTGCTCCCTAAATGTCCTTGAAGAAACTGATGTGAAGCCATCCAGTATAGGCTGCACGGGATATGGCATGTGGGTGGCCTTCGTTGACGTGGCTTTTCTGCGCAGGTCTTGCAGGTGCCACATGATACTTCTGCCATGCACTTTATAGGGCTTGTGTGGATGTGTCTACTGGGGGTGCTTCTTTTCATGAACACTTCTGTTGAAAGGAAAGCGGTTGATTTTGATATTACTTGGGGGCCCTTTATTGCATGTTTTCCTTATTGCAATAGTTTTTCCATGTGTTACACCTCACATTCTTTGGTTCTTACCTGTAAATATCAATTTTGATTTATTCCTTAAGAAGGAAGTCATCCCTTGCTATCTTGTACTGATAGAAATTTGCAATGAAAAAAAAAGAAGAAATTTGCAGTGAAATTCTGAAAGGTAGCAGTGACACCACACTTGTCATGCTCCCCACATGAAGGGGCATGTTAGGGGAGTGTGTGTTAGAGGTTTGACATAGGTGTCTGGGAAATATACGTCATCACTTTAAAAAGCAGAGTGCCAAAATATAATTATTTTAATTTGTAAAAAATTCTAGATGCTATCTTGTTTTTGTTGGCTGGTAGAATTATGAGTAATTTTATTTTTAAAAAATTATTTGTCTTAAAAAAACTATTTGTCTTTCCACATATTCCTTCAAAAGGTGAGGGAACAGGTTGCTCCTCTTTTTTTAAACAGCTGGAATTCTTTTTTTTTTAAGATAGTGTTTTATTCATTTCAGCGAGCAAAAACAGCAATGAGACAGTTTCAAAACAGGTTAGTAGGACAGTTACAACAATTAATAATACATTGCATATTGTTGTCTTCATAGTGGTTATTCAGAGGACAAGACGCAGACATGATATCTTGTCTAAACAATATTAGTACAGACCTCATTGAACTAAGAGAAGGTAGCTGTATATCTATCCTATTTTGTATATAGATATATTTTTTCATTACAAAATCATCTTTTATTTACATCCCCCTTTTCTGTTTCGTTTTGTCAGAGATGGGTGTTCCATTGTTGTTAGAGAAGCTGTATTTGGAGAAGTCTTTAAAGGACTTTTTCATACTTGATGCCAATTCAAATATTGTAGGTGTGTCAATTCAGCAAAATAATCCAATATAGTCCAGTAGTCCATAATAGTAGTGGGTTATCCGTAGGACTGGCAATGTCAGAAATTGTTGACTTGAGCCTTTTACAGCTCCCAGAGAGCAAATTGGTCAAGCAATGGCCGTGACTCATCCACATGGCTGATACTGACAAAGGATCTACAAACTGTGGTACAGGGTTTCAGGATAAATCCTGAGGGGATCTGACTGACCTTGTCAGATACAGAAGTTACATTTCTTATTATATAGGTCTTGCTTTACCTTGGTCTTAACCATCCAGCTGGAAAGTATAAAAATGAGGTATAAAAAGTAAAACCATATTAATATGCTGAACTGTAAAAAGCTCAAGGAAAGTGAAATCCTCCAGCTTTGGGCCATTGCCTATAAGCCAGACACAGATGTAGGGTTTTTAAAGTTTTCTTTTGAAATAATTTTAGATGTAGATAACACGTTAGGAATGCAAGACTGAGTTCTCAGCTATCTTTCGGCCGCTCTTTATGCCGCTATTTTACATAACCGAAGCTCAGAGGTCAAAACCAGTTTTGTATTTAATTCAGCTCTAGCCACACATTGAGCTGGTACCAAAGTCCCTGTCACATGTGAACATCACCCAGACCAGACAACAGCAGCGGACTGAACTCCAGCTATATTTCCTGCTGAAAGTTGTACTATGTTGCTCTGACCTGAATATTAGTGTCCCCTCAGAAGTCACTTGCAGAATGAAACCCAACCACCAGGGTGATGCTGTTAGCAGGGGCTCCTCAGGGGGTGACTGGGACGAGAACCCTTTCACAGTCCTCAGGGCCACCATGTGAGACCAAAGCCACGTGGTGCCGTCTGTGCACAAGGAGCCCAGGCTGCTGGCGGCCTCTTCCCACCACCAACTGCCAGGGAAATTTCTGGGCTTCCGAGCCCCTGGTGTCTGGTATTGTCACCACAGCAGCCCGAGCAGACTGGTGATGGAAAGGAAACTTCGCTACCTTCTCTGTTGGAAATGAGTGAAAAGAAAAGGCAAGAAGAAAGCCACAGTGATGCAATCACAGGACTAAGAAAGTGGTGGAGAGGATGAGGCTGGCTAAAATGTAACTTGTGGTGCAGCAACAAGGTCGCTGGTTGAAAACCTTTGGGTGAGATTTATTTTCCTCATTTGTTTACTAATTAGATTTAATGGTCATGGACAGCTGGTTCCTGCCGCATCTACACATTTAACTTCTGGTGCTTAGCACCTTCGGCCTCTGGCCATTCGCATCTTCTGGGCAGGTGAGGTGAGGTAAAGTCACGCTTAGCGTGCCCACAGTGGGCCACGGAGAACTCAGCCAAGAGCAGTCAAAATAGACTCTCGAGGGAGTGCCCTGTGGAAGGGATGAAGTTTAGAGAATGACCACATTAATCTCTGGAAGGTCTTTGGGAATCACATACAGGAAGCTATAGTCACTTGAAAAAATATGAGATAGGGTTAAAGGTTGGCATTATGGCATGTCATTTGACTGGCTTTAATAATAATAAATATTTCTGTGACAAAACCTACTGTGTACCTGTTTGTATGTTCTAGAAATTTCTCTCTCCCTTGGCTATTATTTTACTTCAAGGAGAAAGCAACAAAAATGTAAATTAGTTCTAAAACCTTGTCAGAAATTAAATGTGTGACTATAAAGGACGAGAGAGAGAGAGAGAGAGAGAGAGAGAGAGAGAGAGAGTTGTTCAAATATCACAGAATATTTGGAAAATGGAGAATTTCCTCAAACACTGATGTAGTGACTGATGGCCTAGCACGGAATTCTCCTGTCTGGATATGGGACTGAGGAGGTTTTCTCAGCAGGGTGGAATCCAGGGAAATGTCATTGGAAAAACATCCCACAGATACAGAACTGAAGCCAAGAAGCTGGGTGCGGTGGTGCACACCAGTAATCCCAGCAGTTGGAAGGCTGAGGCAGGAGTATCACTGTGAGTTTGAGACCAGCCTGTGTTACAAAGCAAGCTCAAGCCAGCCTGAGCTGCACAGTGAGACGCTGCCTCAAAAAGACAAAAACAAACAAAAAACTGGAGCCAAGACACAGTACTATTTTTGTAGGGCTTGGGAACAGGAAGATTCCGTTCACTCTTTTTCAATTTAACTGGACATGGTAGTACATACCTGTAATCCAGCACTCTGAAGGCTGAGACAGGAGGAGGAGTTGGAGGCCAGCCTGAGGTATATAGTAAATTCAGAACTAGCCTGAACTAAATAGCGAGACCCTCTCTCAGAAACAAAACAAACAAACAAACAAAAAACCCTGCCAGGTTATGGTTCTAGGCATGTAGCTATGAATTATGACTGCCAGACCCTTATAAGCCCAATAGTTAATATTCATTACATGTATGACAAAGGGGTCAGTTCATCAGCATTATTTTCTTCTCTGTGTGTGTGTGTGTGTGTGTGTGTGTGTGTGTGTGTGTGTGACAAGCATTGAGCCCAGGACCTTCACGCTGAGCTATGTCCCCAGCCCTTTTTTATTTTGAGATGTGGTCTCACTAAGTCATTAAGTTGCCCAGCCTGAGCGTAAGCTTGTGATCCTCCTGCCTCAGCCTCCTAGAGTGTGGGAATTACAGGTGTGCATACCTCCCCCACCCGGTTTATTTTATGCTTTAGAAACATGCTTAGGATGTCTGACTCATATCTGTATAAAGCCATGCATTTGCTTTACATTGTTTGTAACACTTCAGCACTTCCTGCCTGCCGGGCACCGCGCTGAAGATGAACAAAGCCTTGCCTCTGTAGATGCGACCACAAATGTGTCTTTGCAAACTCTCAAGAACATTTTCTATTTTGTTTTCCAGCCACTGGATGTGAAGGACCCTGATTGCTCTGTCCTTGGTATTTATTGCTGGTTCTGTGCCCAAAGCAAGTCAAACATGATCGCTTGTCATTAACTGTAAAAAGGCAGAAAAGGCCGGCAGATCCTTTATAGTCTAATTGGGTGGAAAGAAAAGTTGTATCAGTGAAGAAGCTTGTGTTAGGCGGTGCAGGAGCGCTGTGAGGAAGAAGGGTGGCACAGTGAGGAGCTGGGGGATGGCCGTCTCTGGTGAAGCCGTCGGGAAGGCTGCCAGGTGATCTTGGCAGTGTCCTGATGTTTTCTTTGAGGTACCGAGAGCTGAATCCAAGCCCTTGTTCATGCACGTGAGGCCTCCCAGCTACATCCTGAGCCCCACTTTTGTCCCATGTATAAGAACAGGTTCATTTCTACAAAACACTGGGCTTCGGTATGTCTGTTTCATACATAAACATAATAGATTTTGTTCATGTCCCTGCTCTACCCTTAACCCCCCCATAGTCTCCCTTATTCCTCAGTAAGCACCTCCCTTTCTACTTCTACATCATCATCATCATCTCTCTCTCCCTCTTTCTAGTTTTCTGAGGAATCTTAGAGGAGGTATTTAGAGACTGTACAATCTCCAGCTATAAGTGATCTCAAAAATTATAGCTGGGGAGGGCCAGCCAGATAGCTCAGCAGATTAAAGCACACTGAGATGGCAATTGAGACTGGGTGTGGCCATGCGCACCTGTAATCCCAGAGCTTGGGAGGCTGAAAGCAGGAGGATCACTACAAGTCTGATCTGTGTAGTGAGACCATGTAGACCCTGCACTAAATACATAAAAAAAAAAAAAAATTACAGCTGTGGATTAGGAGTTGCCTTTATTGGAGCACTGTTTTGACCTTAGTAAAAATTCAGCCAATCACAGGCTCCTTGGAGAAAAGCTAGTTCTTAAGCTTGAACCAAGAAAATAGGAAATAAGCCTGGAATGAGCTGCCCTGCAAGCGGGACAGCACTGAGTGATGAGAACTTAAAGCCAGGTCACTTTGGGCATCAACATCAATAATGACAGCAACAGGTTTTAATCCAATTACTGTAAATACATGTATGCATACGCACACATATGTTACACGCACATATAAAAATATATATACATATACAAATCGTTAAATAAAATTTATAATAGGCCATTAACTTGGATTAAGTGCTTTCTCTAGGCTCCAAAAGACCAAATATTGCAGGCCAGAGAGATGGCTCAGTAGGATAAGCACTTCCCTGGCAAGCACAAGGGTCTGAGTTCAATCCCTGATTCTGCCAAAAAAAAAAGACCAAATATTTAATTTAAGAAAACCCAGCCTTATTAAATCAACCATGATTCTCTACTTAGGGGTCCAACAAACTTTGTGTGAAGGGTCAGAGACTAAATGTTTTTGATTCTGTGGGTTACGTGGCTTCTGTTGCAGTCTCCCACCCCACCCCCACGGTTAGAGCTGCAGATGAGTGAGCTTAGCTGTGTCCTAATAAAACTTTATTAACACTCTGGCTGCAGAAGTCAGGTCCTATCTCTAAATAGTCTTTTCTCTCCAATATCAATGCAAGTCTGAGGCTGAGGGGCTGAAGGAGGTGAATTACCAGTCTAGTAGGGATGCCACGGAGCTCCAACCACCTGCTCCCCCAGGGCAATGGGGCCAAGAGAATCACTTGAAAAAAACAAGAGTGAGTGAATAGAAGACTGGTGTCTGCTCCTCTGGTTAGATCTTTGCTTAAGAAGCAAATATATGGCTCTCCACGCTTCTAGACAAACAAGGAAGAGGCTGGAGAAGAGTGGTAGAACAGAGAGAGGGTGACAGTGGAGAGAGAAGCAGGACTGTTTGGGGCAACAAAGATATGTGAGATTCCCCAGGGCCCGAGAGACACAGTAGAAAGAAACTGGACCTGGTTTGTTTTGTACTGATTTTGCCAGAGGGCTTGCAGCCAGGCTACAGGATTGCCCAATAGGTTGTGGAACAGTCTGACTTCCAGGTCAGAGAAGCTGGACAGCAGGGAGGCTGGTAGGCTCATCTAGGAATGTATGGGGGACAGACAGAGACAGAGACAGAGAAGAAAGCAAGAAGGGGAGGCGAGCGAGAGAGAAGCAGATGGGGAGAGAGACAGACAGACAGACAGACGGAGAGAGAGAGAGAGAGAGAGAGAGAGAAACAGGAAAAAAGGCAGAACCATTGCTCATGATAGGTTGACATGGGAAGGGGAAGCAGCCATTCTATTACACCAGAGTATTATGATATTTACTTATTCCTTAGAAGAGAGAAGGCAGGCATGTCGCAGAGGGAAGCCACATGTATCCTCCCTGCAGTGCCACCCACTCAAAGGTGGGCCTGGTCAGGGGGGTAAGACTGTACCTTCCACCATCCACACACTCTTCAGCCCAGGAACTCAGCAGGGGCGGGGGAAGGAAGCACGCAGTGGAGGAGAGCCAAGAACAGCAGCCTGGTAATCCCAGTGGTTATGGGCAGCTGAGGTGGAAGGATCGCAAGTTTGAGCCCCATCTGGAGTCCACTTTTGAACACTTTTGGCCACACGTGCCACAGTCATGGGATCACCCCCCCACACTCACACACACGCACACTCACACCCATGGAAGTGTCTGGTTCCTAGACATGCGTAACTCAGTCCTCCTCATTGCCACCAAGAGCATAGATGGGAAATCAAAGCTGGAGATCCATGTGACTACAAATGAAAAGGCTAAGTAGAATTACTGGAGGGGCAAATTACTAAAATAATATTGTTTATGGGATTCAAGAGGTCACTACGATGCACTTGTCCTTGCTATCATACATTAAGGAAAACTGAAAACATGCTACACTTTAGAAAAACTTCTGACAATTAAAAAGAGTTGGTCCAAAAATAAAGGCTGAGGAATCTCTGAGTGAAAGTGTTCACATGAAACTACGTGAATATTGAAGAAATATGCAGTAGGATGCACAATAACTAACAAGAGCTTAAGATCCTCCTTCAATGTGGAGGACCACGTGGGTGACTCTCCTTGAAAGAAGAGCAGTTGTCTCCACTGTGGCTGTGCCTGACCCCATTTCCATGCCCTGCTGTGTACAGAGCTGGCTAGGACTTTGTCTTACTGCTTCAATTGCCTTTAAGCAATGCATACTGGTCTAGCCAAGACGCTAGTGGAAGTCTCTGAAGACGGCCCGCATGCTTCCCTGATAACCCACGCCTGCTGCTCTTTAATATGAGCCAAGTCGAGACAAGATGAAGAGCCAGTGCTGTTGGCTGGGATCAAGCCTCAAGATACAGGCTTTGACTTCCAGCTTGAAAAATTATACATCAGAGCTGAAGCACCAGACCCCAAAAGATTAGATATAATGCAAATTACTTTTCTGCATATCCTTCTCTCTGCATATTGCAGAGGTAAACGCAGGCCTCCTCCCCAGCCCAGCTCACGGTACTCACCTACTTCCTGCAGTTCTCAGTCCTTCATCCCCAAGCCACTCCTCCTTCATGACTGAATAAAACCTGGCTTTGGCCCTGGGTTGAGGCCTTTGTTCCAGATAGTCATCACCATGGCTGGACTTAGGGCCCCTTGGCTCCCCACAACTATAAATATCCTTAATGTTTTTATTCTCGCCATGGGTTGCACTGGAAGCAGTAGATTGGAATTAACTTGATGGGATTCCAATAACTTATCCATGAGATTACAAATATAAACTTCCTGGTCCGAGACAAGGACCAAAAGTGGCTCCCTATACTTCAACCCACTCTATGGTCAATCACACCTAATGTAAGTGAATTATGTAGCCATTAGGATACGTTTTCTCAGAATGAACTGAGATGCACTCTGTGCACGCACTGGCTTCCCACGAGGAACATGATTACTATGCACTGCCCATGGGGACCAATGAAAAACAAAAAAAGAGTTGGTCCAGAAAGAAATACATTTCAACTATTCGAAACATTTACACGAGGATATACGAATCTACCAGTAAAGGGAATCATTTGAGTCCATGTATAATCGAAATTGTAAACCTATATGAATAAGGTGCAAATGTTCAAATTTAGTCCTCAATCCTCCATAATCCCCAGCAGTTTACATGGACATTCTGCCTCCTCCAAAATTCGCAGCAGACTATGGGGTGACTTGCCACCCAAAGGAGCCCTTTCAAACTAAATGAATGAGTGGGATGAGTCACCCCTCTCAATTATTCATTAGAAGAATGTGGTGCGAGCCCAGAGGTGCCAGGCACTATGCTGAGCCCTCGAGATAAAAGCCACTAAGATGCAGCCCCACCTAAAGGAGCCCTAAATTGTGATCACAGAAGGTGAGAGGAGCCTCCCCTTAAAGGGCTGGGAGCGGTTATTAGAGACCTCACCGGCAAGCAGCCAAGTGGGAAGACTCAGGGAAATATCAGCCAGGAAAGGGGGAGGCTCAGGAGGATGTTACCAGGCACAGCATGACTAACGCGCTGACTCAACTATAGAAGCAGGAAATGGGACGAATTCTTCACCCGTCATCTTCCTAGGAAGAGCTAGATCAGATAGAAAGGAGGGCATGTGACACCAAGTGTCTTCGCAATGCAGCCTACAGAGGATCTTTTGATCAAAGGAGATGGGAACGTACAGAATACTAAATCCACAATGGGGCTCAGCAGGCAGTGGAACCAAAGAGGGGCGGGTAGACAAGCTGGATCTGACAAGTGAGTCCAACTCAATGAGTAGTCAAATCTAGACTTCTGGAGAATTGTTCTACATTTTCTTTCTAACTCTTAAAGGACTCCATCCTCCATCTCCACCCTCCAATGTGTCAAAACCAAAACCAAAACTGGAATTTTGGAGATGTGACTTTTTGTCATTCATTTATAGTCAATCAAGGTACCGTACTGTTCAAGGCACTCTTGTACCCACCAAACAGTGGCACCAAGGTGGGGTGGTCGATGAGGGCCCGGCCTTTCCCTACCACAAGCTTTTGGTGATAAATGACGAAAAGGTGCAAATGTGGCCACGCACATCAGCCACAGCACCTGGACCACATCACTGCCTTTGCTATGTGACAGAGAGTACATCACAACTCCTTTGTCAACTGAAGAAGTCACATTCCCTGTGAATATGTAAGGAACATCAGCAGAGATTTTACTACGCTTGCACGGCTCTTCCAAGCTATTGCCCTGCCTATGAGTATTCCTGGCTTTATGTAGCTAAGGCAGCCACCACTGAGTTTCAAAGTGCCATGATGGAATTATTGAATGGCTTTTCAAACACTTTCATTTCCTCACAGTCTGCAGATGTTACTCATGGGCTACTCCCAGCCTCTAGGCAGGAACAGGGACTGCACGAGAGCTCTTGCCACAGGAGGTTCTTGGTGGGAATATCCTATTAACATGCATGATCACGAGCTCCCCCCGAAAACTAATAGGATCACAGTGTGGTATTTGAAAAGAACTCAATGCTATTTTATTTTAATTTTTAAATCATTTATTTATTTGGTAGAGGGTCTTGCTATGCAGCTCAGACTCATAGTGACCATCCTGTCTCAGCCTCCCCAGCACTGGGATTACAGGTGTGTGCCACCATGCCCAGTTTCAGTGGCCAGCATGGCACGCCTGAGATTCTGGGGCCTGCATGGCATGCAGTACCAGGGATCAAACCCTTGTCTTTGCGCTTGCCAAGCCGGTGCTTAGACTGCCAAGCTTTCTCCCTAGCCCTCGATTTCTATTTTATTAAAAAGAACAAAATGGAGAAATTTCCTCAGAAGAGCAACATAAGTTGAACTAAGCAGGTTTCGAGCTGATTTGGTGGCAGCCTCTTCTTTTTCCATCTCAGTAGGACACAGGAGTGCGCTCTGGTTCTATGCTGTCCATGAACATATTTGACCCTTTCAGCAGATGTTAGAATGACTTTAAAGAGGGGTGGTGCCTGAAAAAATAGTGCTAGTCACCCATCTGGAGTCCACTTAATGAACACTTTTGGCCACACATGCCAGAGTCACGAAACCACCCCCTCACACATCCACACGCACACTCACCCCTGTTCTAATCCAAACTAATATATCCAGCACACTTTCCCTCAAGATAGATGAAGAAATAAGAACATTTTATGAAGAAGAGTGACTCCAGAGATCTATGAATACCAAATATTTTGGAAAATATTCAAGAATATCCTAGACAGGGCTGGGAAAATAGCTCAGTGGTCTAAGCACCGGCCTAGCAAGTGCAAGGACCCAAGTTTGTTCCCCGGTACTGCATGCTGTGCTGACCCCAGAACCCTTGGTATGCCATGCTGGCCCCAAAACTGGATATGGTGATGCACACCTATGATCCCACACTAAGGGAGGCTGAGACAGGAGGATCACTGTGAATCACAACTGCATAGCGAGACCCTGTATCAAATAAATAAAAAAAAATGAAAAAAGAATATCCTAGAGACAGAAACATTGAAACCAACAAAGCCAAAAATACAGACAGAATAAATACACTAAGCAAGGGCAAATGGATAAAAACATAAACAACAAATAAAGGAAAAGAAAAACAAAGGAGTTACCAGCAGAGAAAGACTACAATGATAGGAATTAATCAGTACCTCTCAGTAATCGCCCTCAATGTTAATGGTCTCAGATCCCGAATTAAAAGACACAGATTGACAGAACGTATCAAAAAACAGAATCCAAGACTCTATTGCATTCAAGAAACTCATC